GTCATTGACGGAAACATTTGTCAAAATATGTCATACACAATACACAACGTAGCTTTAAACACTTACTTACCGACAGATATACGGGAAAGAACCAATCAGTGTGCCTCCCGTCATTGTGTAAATCCCTCTGCCGATTTGTTTGGCACTTTTTTTTCAAAAATCTGTTTCTCAAAACGATTTGCCAGATTTGGACTCTTTGGTTCAGATTAAGAACCGTGACACAAATCGAGTCCGAACTGTAGCATGAGCCCCACGGGCGCGTCTACAAGTCCCTTCCCGTCTGGTATAAAACTCAGCACTATTCCATTCTTATCAGTAGACAAAGAAAAGAGTCTGGGAAATTCTTCCTTAAGGCACATCTTCCCTGCCCATTTATCAAGCCAGAACTGAGCTCTCTGCCCATTCCCGAACTGAATTGTAGTGTTTATAAGGTACAAATTGTGAATCAAAAGCTTAGAGATCACTGCACGGATGATATCTGACTAGATTTTTGAAACTCTTTTATTTCCTTCCATGTGTGGTAGCCAACTTCCACCTACCATGTTATACTTTGAACAAATAACTACCTTCTACAAAGCGTGAGTCTCAGCCCCAAACCTCCACCACCATTTTAGCAATAAGCAAGTATTCATAACCGATGAACTTCTAAGGCCTAAGCCTCCCAAATATTTGCTCTTGGTAATGGCATCCCAACTAACCATATGGACTTTCCTTCTAAGATCTGACCCACCCCATAGAAAATTTGATTGAATTCTGTCAATGTCTTTTGCCACCCCCACTGGTAATTTGAACAACGACAAATAGTAGAAAGACAAATTACTTATAACAGATTTAATCAAAGTCAACCTCCCAGCAAACAACAATAACCTTCTCTTCCATGTGGACAGTTTCAGTTTAAACTTATCCAAAGACTTGCTTCCAAGTGCTTTTCCTACTAGGGTTAGCTCCAAGAGGTAGCCCAAGGTACTTTAAAGGAAAATTCTGATAAGCACAATTTAACTTAGAGGCAAAACCTTGCAGCAGACCTTCCTCCACTTCAATGCCAGCAAACACACTTTTATGGTAATTAATTCTTAGCCCCGATAGAATTTCAAAGCACTGGAGAATTCTTTTGATAGTCACCATTTCCACCTACTCAACTTCACAAAACAAGATTGTATCATCTGCAAATTGTAAGTGCGTTACTTTGACCCCATTATTTCCAATGTCAACACCTTTGATTAAACCTAGTTCCTTTGCTTTATCAAACAAGACATTCAAAGCCTCAACCACAATATTGAATAGGAAAGGGGATAGTGGGTCACCTTGCCCTAATCCATGCTGTGGGCAGAACTCCTCAGTAGGCGAACCCTTCACTAAAACTGACACTTTTGTGGATGTAACACACGCTCTCATCCATCTCCCCCACCTTTTTCCAAAACCAAAGTTAGATAACATATTGAACAAGAATTCCTAGTTGACTGAATCATATGCTTTCTCGAAGTCTAGTTTCAGCACCGACCCTTTCTTGCTCCACCCATCAACTATCTCGTTGGCAATGAGAACCCCATCTAGAATGTGCCTAACCCCTAGAAAAGCTGATTGGGACTCGCTAATAATCATGGGCAACATTGGTTTCATTCTATTTGACAAGACTTTAGCCAGAATTTTGTACAACGAACCTATAAGACTTATAGGCCGATACTCATTCAAGCTAGATGGGCTGTCTACTTTTGGGATCAAAGCAATAAAAGAGCTACTTATACCCCTAGCCAGACTGGCATTCTGATGGAACTCCCTAAAGAATTGCATTACCTCAGGTTTAACAATTCTCCAGCATTTTTTAAAGAAGGCCAAGTTAAATCTATCGGGCCCAAGTGCTTTGTTGCCATCACAACTCGTAATAACATTTTTAACTTCCTCTTCTGTAAACTCTGCTTCCAGGAGGTCCGCTACTTGTCTACCACCAATATTTTTGAACTGGCCAGACAGTTTAGGCCTAATCGCCCAAGTTTCAGAAAATGGTTCATGAAATGATTCTTCACCGCATGTCTGACCTCCGAAGGTTCCACAACCATTGTGTTGTTCACTAGTATTGAGCACAAAGAATTTCTGTTATTTCTATTACTGGCCTTTATGTGGAAATACCTTGTGTTCCTATCTCCTTTTGTGGCCCAATTAATTCTGGACTTTTGCAACCAAATCCATTCCATCATTTGTTCAACCTCCAGATTTCCCCCTTTAATTCGTGTCTTCTGAATTGTTCATTCCCCAGAACCACTCTTTACTCTGCAATTAATTCAATAGCATGGGCTTCCTCTTCAGCAGCCTTCAACTTAGTGTCAATCAACCCAAACACAGTAGAATTCCACACTTTTAGCTTATGTTTCAGAGCTTTAAACTTCATGAGACATTTGAATCCAGCCCACCCTTTGACTTGATATTCTAACCATGTTCTCTCCACTAAAGATACAAAGGTAGGGTGAACAACCCACGTATTAAGGAATCGAAAAGGTCTCGAACCCCAATCTCTTTCATCCTCCATCAAAATTATAAGACAGTGGTCAGACAACTGCCTGGAGAGTTGAGGCTGAAATTTTCTAGCCATTCAAGACCCCAATCTTTAATTTACCATACAATTTCTTTTCCCTAAGGGTTTGCAATACAGTGCTCAAATGTTGTTCATGATCAATCCTACTCTTTGAGTATATCAAGATGTCATCAATAAAGGCTTCAACAAACCCACCAAGATAAGACTTAAAATTTGATTCATAAGATCCATGAACGCCGCCAGTACATTAATCACTTCAAAGGGCATAACAAGAAATTCATAGTGACCATATCTTGTCCGAAATGCAATTTTCTCAGCATCTTTTGCTTTCACCTTTAATTGGCGATACCCAAATCTCAAATTAATTTTTGAAAACACTTGTGATCCCTGAAACTGATCAAAAAAATCCTTAATAGAGGGCAAAGTGTATTTATTTTTTATTGTTACCTTGTTTAATTTTCAGTAGTCAATACATAATCGTAAGGTCCCATCTTTCTTCTTTACAAATAATACCGATGCTCCCCAGGGTGAAGTACTAGGTCTAATAAAACCTTTATCAAGCAAGTCTTGCAACTGTTCTTTCAATTCTTTCAATTCAATAGTTGACATTTTGTAAGGAGTTTTTGAAATAGGCTGAGTGCCCAACACAATGTCAATAGTAAACTCTATATCTCCCTATCAACCAATTCCCCTAGCAATCCATTTGGAAATACATCCGGAAATTCTCTAACAACAGGAATACTATCTAGTTCAACATTCATGGGTTGTTCAGTCATCACACTACATAGATAACCTTGGCATCCTTTCTTGAGCAATTTACATGCCTTCATGCTGAAATCAGATAAGGTGGAGGCACAACCCCCATTACCCATAAATATAAACTCATCATGTCCTGGAGGTTTAAATATAACTTGTTTTGTTACACAATCAATAGTGGCACAACATTTAGACAACTAGTCCATACCCAGAATTACATCAAAGTGTCTAATATCCAAAGGCAATGGGTATGTTTGGTTTGCATTTGGGAGATGAGTTTTAGAAAAGAATTTCTAAAAAATTGTTTGGTTTGAGTTTTTCTCAAAAAAATTTCAAAATCACTTTCTCTCTCTTACACATCAATCAATCATTTTTTATCTCACACACATCTACTCAAATTCTCCCAAAATATCAAATCATCCCAAACTCCCAAAAAGACAACTCTCCGAAAATATACAACCAAACAAACCAAAAAAAATTCTAAACTCTCTCCTCCCAAATTTTTTTTCAAAAACAACTCTCCCAAAAACAAACCAAACAAACCCAATATATCCACATATAAAGTTGCACTTCCAATGTGCATATCGCAAACACGATATACAGATGCACATAACACAGACTCCCCAGATAGAGCAAATACACACAACAAATAAGGCAATGATTCTATGGGTCTATTGAATCTAGATACATATGTCCTAGACATAAAGGAATGTGTTGATCCAGAATCAATTAACACAAAAGCATCTTGATTACATATAGTGATAGTACTTGAGACGACGGCTTCAGTATTTCGTGTGTCACTTGGGATAAGCGCAGAGACTCTCCCTTGCCTCATTATGTCTCTAGTAGTAGTAGGTCTCACAGTGTTTCCTAGTACAGGAATAGATCTAGTTGAGCTAGCGGATGGCCTTCCACTTCTTTGGTCAGTCTGCGGATAGTCTTTAACCACACACCCAATTTTGCCACCCCGAAAACAAGTCCTAGATGTGTGGTAACAAACTTCCCAATTCTTTCTACTACAGATGTTACATGTTGGTGCAAAATCCCGTGAAGAGCTGGAACTCGATAAACTTGTATTTTTCTTTTTAAACATCTTCTTCTTTGAAAAGAAGCCTTGACTCTTGTTTTTCTATTCAGCCAGTTTATTTTGATTGGCCATATTAGTTTCTAACATTAAAGCCCAGTCTAGCACATCAACATAAGTAGGCAATTTCAGTACATTCACTTTTTCCAGGATATCATTATGGAGACCACCCTCAAATTTTCTTTCATTTTTATAGTCGGTGTCGACCATATGCGGTGTAAACCTAGCCAGTTCGGTAAACTTGGCCTCATACTCAACCACAGTCATATTGCCTTGCTTTAGCCCCTCGAATTCAGACACGTTTCTATCACGGACACAGTGTGGAAAATATTTATGATAAAAGAGCGCAAGAAACTGTGTCCAGTCTATTCCCTTGTTGTCATCACGCATTAACATCCACTACCTTCTTACTTCATCCTCCAGTGTAAAGGTGGCTAACTGTAGTTTTTGTGTTTCAAGGCATGAGAGTACTTTGAACAACTTTTCAGCCTTCAATGGGTCGACACCCCCGTGAAACAGTGGTGGGTTCATTTTCTTAAACTCTTTGGTGAGAGCTATTGTTTGGTCGTCATTTTGTAAGTCGTGCATAGGTTGTACCGAAGGTGGGGGGTGGCAGTTGTTGCCACTATTGTTGTTGCCACTGTGTTTCTGCCATGTCCTGTATCAGTCTTTCCATCCTGTCCAGTCTGGCAGTAAAAGATTCTTCTATTTCATCAGATCTTGTTCTCACCATTATCTGATGAGACTTGCATTATATTTTATACAAAAAAATGTACACTATATACATAGACAGAAAGAGCACGCATATACAGATAGTCAACAGTTCATATGTCATGTAGTCACATATTTCAAAACACTTTAGCATATTCTTAATGCATTTAAGTATATATTTATCATATGCATGCAACTTAAGTTTTTTCTAGACACTCTATTGCTTATTTGGACAACTATGTGAGTTATCAACTCGTGCTCTGATACCACTCTGTCACGTCTTGAACCCGCCCCTATAGGTTAGGATCATAACCGACCAGTAATCATGAGATTACCTACGACCTCAGACAGAAATCAGTCATATTTACTATTAATAGGGGGCCAGATGTGGAAGTAAAATTAGAAATTTTGTCTAATGAACTATGCATATATGGCATTACAAAAACTTTGCACATTATATTGATAACTCACACCTTATAGTCAATATAGATATACATATATCCAAGATCATTCCAGAAATAGTCTTAGCAGATACCAAGTTATATACTTAGATACAGCCTTAGTCCTACGGGACCACAAAAGTAAACAAAATAAAAACAGTCATAAATAAAGCCTCATACGGGAGGTGTCCATAGTAGACTCCACGGTATCTGATATCCTTAATGGGTCCACTAGGATTGAGGCTGGACATCCCGCTACTCATTTACATACATTTAAATAAAAGAGTGAGCTAACGCTTAGTGAACAATACCAAAGTAAAGGGATTGAGTGAATGAGCCCCTTTTTTTTAACAGATAAGCATATTTAATTAATGAGCATATATGATCAGTAAGCATTTTACATCAGAACGACCTTGGGTCCAACATGTGACGAAATGACGTTAAGTCCAAGAGATAGTAGAATATATAGTATGAGTTCAATCATCACTCAACAGAACAGCCTCGGGCACAGCAGTGTAGAGTATGACCTTAGGTCCAACAGTTAACAAATTCACCAATCAGATTTAGTCAGGCCTTATTAGTACGACCTTGGGTCCAAGCATTTATAGTATATAATGGTCGTACAGTATATAACGACCATTCAATTTTGCAATTGCATATCAGTCATTTAGTCTTATCAGAGATCCTATCATATCATATCAGTCATTTACTTGTACAGTTAATACTCTCGTTAATATCACATTGTTAGTATATCGTTCAGACAGAAGATGATAACTCATTCACGCTTATCAAATCATAGGTTCAAAAAATCTTATCACATGTGAACAATCAGAAAATAGAGTATAAGTAAAATATCTTTACAAAGATATTATTCACTGTGGTCAAATGGCTGAATCGTACTTGTAGTTGACCCTACATAATTCACAACACATTGGGTTATAACATAATTCAATTTGTTCCTTAGTTTGCTTAATTTTCAGGCTTCTTTCTAACTCTTAGAATGCTTAATGTGTGCCTAAGAATGCTCAGAAATAAAAAAGAACAGAAATTGGAACATAAAATAACTTTTCAAAGTTTCCTGAAACAGGGCACTTCCCTCAAGCGCAATGATGGTTGCTCGAGCGAACCCCTTGGTCTGTAAAAGTATTGGATGCTCGATTTTCATGCTTAACGGTCACTCGACAGTCATTTAAGCCAAGTACTGAGAAAAAGGATGTTCGCTCGAGCGCACAATTGGTCGCCCAAGCCACCGTGCAATTGCCTACAAAACTACTGAGAGCTTGAAATGTACGCTCGAGCGACACTTCCATCACTCGAGCAAACTGCTCAAATTTTGGAATTTCTAGAATTGTATTTGAGCTTCAAATTCAACTCCAAGGCTCAAAATTCATGCATGTCTTGTCCATTTGTGTATAAACACTCCCAAAAACATAAATTTAAAGACAACTTCAACCCATAACTCAAAATTCCATGAATTCAACAAAATTCAACCTTGAACTTCATGCATGTAGACTCATCTTTTATATCTTGCACTTTCAAGCTGTTAAACTTGGAATTAGACTTCAAAACATGATAATTCATGCATACATGTAAGATACAATTTCTAATTCAACATAGATTACATGATTCATGCTCAAAATTGAGGATTCATAGCAAATTCATGCATGCATGTGTGAGTTAGTTCTAAATTCATCAATCTTACTTCAATCTCTTTAATTTAGCTCATTAATCTCTTGAACTCACAAATTACATGGCTTAAGCTTATGATTTAAGGTTCAATTACTCACCTATGAACTTTAATTTAGCTCAAACTATCAAGAAGTAGAGCTAATCTTCCCAATTCTTGAATCTCCTTGCAAATTCTTCTAATTGAGCTCCTCTCTCTCTCTCTCTAAAATCAAAGTCTCACTCCCTCTCTGTAGCACTCTCTATAGAATTTTGAGTTCAAAATATGTCTCTTAACTTAACTCTAAGCTTAGTTGATCATTTATATACTCGTGAATAGCTTAGGCTAATTAAACATAATTAAGACTAATTGTAGACACCCCATTTTTGACAGTTCTCAAGACTTGGACGTCACCATTTGAACATTCGGTGATCATCCATGTTTGTGTTCGTCCTGAGTTCTCGGAGGTCTCGGCCACGCGCCTTACCTCAAGACCTCTCAACTTGCCTGTTTTGTGTTTGGTTTTGCACCAAACACTTGTTATTTTGCTTCTGAGGGTGGAAAATGGCTTGTTGGCCATCCCCACACCTCACCGGCCATGGCTTGAGGCCACCGGCCATGTTTTGTTTCCACTGGCCATTAGGCCATTGGTAATGGCCGGCCGGCACTCTTTATGGTCGGCCGACCATTGTTTTGGTCAATTTGTCATTTTTGGCTGGCCGATCACTGTTCATCTTCTTTTGGTAGATATTTTATGCCAGCTGTGATAGCTGGCATCCACAATGCACCCCGAGGGATTTCCCTCTTACTTAGCTTGTTATGTAAGCTTTGCAAGAGTGAATCTCTATAAAGGGAGGGCTTCTCCTCCCTTCTCAAGGGTTCCAAAAAAGTTCCAAAACTCTGAGATTAGGGTTAGAGGATTGTGTATCTATTCTATCTCTATATCTCTTTCTCCTTCCATTTTGTGTGTGTTTAAGGTGTTTTTGTTCATAGTTTTGCATACAAACACCTAGTGCTACACTTTCCTTTAGCTACTGAGGTACTAAGGAGTTATTTTCAGAGTTCTTGAGTTGATCTAAGCTTGGAGAGGCTGCTGGAGCATTGTTCTTGAAAGAGGTCTTCAAGGGTAAGAACTTTACCCCTTTATTCCTCATTTTTGCATAGGCTTTTAGCCATCCTTGCATCTGTTTTTAGGCTTAGTGTATAACTAGTAAAAGTTCTGTTTTTACTTTCTTTTGATAGTTGTTTAAGGTCTCCTTGAGGTTTGGGGTTGTTTGACCCCTCTTAGGCCTTGTTTGGCCTCTTTTTTTGTGCACTTTTGGTGAGCTCCGGGACCACCTTGTGTTGGCCTCCTCACCACTGAAATCCAGAGGGATTTCAGTGGTGGGGATGGTGTTTTGAGGTCCTATATCCCCTCTCCTTGTTGTCTCCAATACTTGCCATTTTAGCCTCATGTGTGAGCACCTTTCTTGAGTTCATGTTGGCCATGTCTTAAGTAGTATTTGTGTTTATTTTGCCATGATATAGCACTATTTTTAGTTGGTTTAGACACACCATGCATGCTTTGCATACTTGTCTTGTAATGCCATGAAATTGCCTTAAGATGCTTTGTGCTTTGAGCCTTGTTTTTAGCATGATTTTGGCTTAGCTCTGTGAAGCTTTTATGCATGTTATGATGCTCTTGAGGTTTGATTTTGGTCATTTGGGTCATCCATGACTTGCTTTGTATAGCTACCATGCAATCTCCCTTATAGGCCTTGAGTGTTGGATCCTCTAGCATGCTTTACTTGCACTGTTTCAGTGGTTTGGCACCACTTATCATGTCATTTCAGTCCACATGGTATGCTTGTATGCTTGCATTTAATAGTCCTTTGATGCTTTGAAAGGTTGTTGTCTTATGATCCATGTTTGGACCATTATGTATGCTTCCATGT